AGAGTTAGAACTCATGTAAACCTTGGATGTCAGTCACTGTCAGCATGTCTCTTGTCTGGCTAAAGCTCGTAACCATCCTCTGTCTCTCCTGCACATCCCTGAAGGCCAGAGGTAAGGAAGACTACATGTGTAATACCAAAGAATGAAACAATAAGGCAGGATGAGTTTATAAAGCTTTATCAAAAGTCAGAAGAAATAGAATTACTGTTCAAGTTTTATGTCTGTTGATACAGAGGGCAGCAATGTGGTGTGGAAAGATTATGGAAGTTCCATCACTATCCAGTGCCGGTCTCATCAAACAAACCTAGCGTGCCTAAGCGTGAAGAAGGGTCTCCTGAGTGAGGAGGAGATATTTTATCAAATGGGGCGGTCACCCCCTATCATTTCAGACAAAATTAAGGACAGAGTTCAGCTAAATGGAGCATTCCCCAATGTGGACATTCTCATCAAAAACCTGACCGTTGAAGACACAGGCCCATACTGGTGTTCATACGTGGAGATGGGTGGGAAGTCCAGTGATTTATTAAACGTTAAAAGCAAGGGGTCTGTGCTGCTGGTGGTGAAAGGTGAGCCTCATCCTTTTATTCATTTAGCCACAAAACCTATTATGCTTACAAATCAACCTCATCATTATTCCACTGGACACATTTTTTTTAACAATGGTTCATCCACGTTAATGCATAATAAATTTCACACTGTGAAATATCTTTATATTAGTCTTTTCTTTTCAATATAAGAGAACACGTTCGACAGTTCATCCAACATGAATCTAGAAGTGCAATAAGTGTGTTACAACTACAGTAGTTTAATAATGTGTTCTAACAGTAAGCTTCTAGTTCAGTGGTGACAGGTTTGAAGTGAGGGAAGGCTTAGCAGGCTGTTTGTATTCAGGGAGGAAATCTATGGGTTTCACATATTGCTGGTACATGCAAAGTTACTTTGACTTATCAGATTCATACTTTCCAGGAACTTAGTGTAGTTTTTGACTCCACTACCATGTCTGCTGTTTTTAATTAAAGGTATAAAGAGTTTTTAAAAATCCAGTTTACACACAGTTTGCACTTTCTGCTTTAGTATCATTTTGAGTGAAGAATATGTAACTGGGACTTAACACTTTAGTAATACATGAATGCAATTTCTAGAAAAACCCACTCCAACTACAGACCCAAGCAAGACATGTAACTCATCAAACAACAATCTGGTCCTGGTGTCCGTTGTGATCTCTGCCGCTGTGCTGGCCGGCATCATCATGGTCACCCTCGTATGGGTCATCATCAAGGTACCCCCTACTGTGTGTGTGTGATCGTACTTTGGTTTGACTCACAACCTCTCAGAGACTGTTTCCATCTTCCTATTATGCTTATAAAGACTAAATGGATGCTCATTATGAGGCCCAGTATGACACAACTGTCCTGAGAGAATTGTAAACTCAGCATCAGTAACATCACTTCAGCCTTCCACTGCCTGTGGAGATTCATTAAAAGAATTGTGTACCAGTACATAGTTTGGACACACTTTAGCACTGAATTGAATGGTAAAGTGTGTCTGCTAGTTACTTGCAAGACTGATGTATTAGAATATTTATTTAAATGCATTTGATATAATTGTCAGGTTTTAAAACACCTGACAATAAAAGGTAGAAAAATGTCATTTTAAAATGTTTCTATACAAGTTGTAATACTGCAATAATAAAACTGGACCCAAAGAAAAAACAGACTAAAGCCTCTGTAAGGAGAGTAAACACAGAATAGTAATCACACTACTTATTGTATACTAGCCCCATATCTAACTTGTTGACAACAATATCTGTTACCAGACCAGGAGTTTGCGCACTGCAGTAAAACCAAGACGTGTCACCACCAATGATGTTTATGAGGACATGCGTGGAACACTCAGGCGCTGAAAAGATCAGTCTGCAAGAAACCCACGAACCTGAAACCCCATGAACTCTGTACCACTGAGGTACGAGCGATGCATATGAAGCAATGTTGCAACTCAGCATGTTTTCCAACAAACACTGAGCTCTCACCAGGCTGAGTGAATGTCAGAGAAAGTCAAGGCAATAGGGTGCAAGAACTGTAAAATGGTACAAGAGACTGTTGTATTAACTCTGAAAATTATATACAGATAGTTTGGGAGCAATGTATCAAATTACATAACTCACATCGTCGTTTCTCTTGTTTTTTAGTAGCAATATAAACTGAACTGTACATTAAGCTGGAATGTCCTTTGACTCACCTTATTTTTAACCTAAATATTTCTTCTGTATTTTTCTGTAATTATTGTACATGTTTTGTAATTTGTTATGACCATGAATAAAGTGTGCCGTGTTTTTTTTAACAGACTGTGTAGTTTTGTGTTTACTAAAGGGCAAAAGTTATCACATGACTGTATGGTCGGTGTGTTCACCAGACTCGTGGTTTGTTTAGCCATAAAAACATTCACTGTCTATTTTTTGTGGATAGTAATGCTAGATTTATTGAGGAGACCATGATGTTTTCTAATTCTAAGTAGGAAAACACCAACTTTTAGTTCCCACTAAGCCATTGGTGATTGATTAGCTGTACAGAGAGTATGTAGATTACTGAAAAGATGAGCAACATCCCTGCAGCATATTGCAAACATGGTCTGACCCAGTTTACTGTAAAAGAAGTAACACTGGTTACAGCAACAAACAAGCAATACAGAGGAAACCTCCAGTGGTTCAAAGTTATTAGTAGTTCACACAGCTTCAGTCACTGACATCACTGATCAAATCACTGACACTGTGGTTTTTGAAGGCGATTCTATGAAGCCTGACATGCCACGTTTTAAATTATAACTCAGGAGAATTTATTGAACTGTTCGGTTCCTTTTACTTTTTTTTCAACAAGCCACAGTCAATATTAAACCACACATGAAGACCACACAGTGCAACACTTTATTACCAGTGTGAAGTGCATGTGTATCACTGATACAATTACTATATTGTCAGTAAATATGTAAATCAAGGAAGAGTCTGACAAGAGACCCAGTATGAGTCAACATTAAAATACCAGAGTAGAGCTGCAGTAGAGCTGAATGTTTATTTGTGCAATGTGTTTGTGGTCAAAAGCTGTGACTTCTCTTTTCCTTTACGAAACATGAAAAGTGCCTTTATGCATTTGTAGGGTAAGTGTGGGTGTGCAGTGGTGCGATTATACATTTGTTGTGTATGTGTGTATGTTAGGGCCACCGCTTCGAGCCGCTTATATATATAAAAAAACAGTCCAGCGGAGTGGAAACTTTGAGGTGAGTGGTAGCATTCAAAGTGAGAATGAGCGGCCCCCTTACAAGAAAAACAACCACGTTTACAGCCAGGAAGATCTACTATACACCACAGTTTCACAGTCAGTCCAAAGCAGATTTTTTAAATTCAGTAAATGTTCAGTTTTATCGACCCATTGGTATTATTCAGACAAAGGTTTGTACTAGTGCACAAGCACCAGACTGTGCAACTGCAGGAGGTTCTATATTTGTAATTATCTGTAACAGGAAACACCAAATGATAAAGTACAGCAGAACTGGATCCAATGACGCTCTGACACTTTTTGTCAGCCAATAGGAGCTGGGATGTGTGTTTACAAAGAAGCAGAGGAAATGCTATTTTTACTGCAAAACAGCTATCTGTTTTTATCTAACCTTTAACTCACAGGTGCTGTTGATCAAAGGTAGTGAGATAAAATGGTTCTTGAAATGTGGCTGCATTACTCACTTGTTTTTCTCTTGAGCTTATACAGAATTTTTCAGCAGCTGTTTTCTGTAACTGGTACAAGTGGAAACTGTGACATTCACAAGGTGCTTTTACCAGTGTTAGGTAGGTGTTGGATTCAAAGCCTCTTGCCTTCAAAATGTGAAACTCTGTGATTTGCGTTTTCCGTACAAGTCATAAAATGTGTAAAACCCTTAGTACATGTATCTCTGTTGCACTAATAGATGTTTTCTTCACCCGTGCTTTACTGCAGTAACATGATGTGGTTGTGGTCTTACATGTAATGATATAGGTCAGAGGCCATGTCAGTGACCTAGGCCTTAAATTAAAGTGACCTGATAAATAAAAGTTGCTTATTTGGGTACAAACTTCTTTCCTCTCTTATCCTCAGAAGGATTCAGTGAAATGAAAGCCTCCAGCCTTCAGCTCAACAGAGCTGCATCAGCCTTTCACCGTGAGAAGCAAACCCTTGATTTATCTGTTGTCCATGCACCACACACACACACACACACACACACACACATACACTCGTCTGGTTTCTGCAAACAGAGAACAAACTCAAAGTGAAGCACTGATAAAGTTGGCTCTTTAACATTTTAATGCGTGTTAAGAATTAGTCAGTAAATGGTCAGTTAGTTAACTGTGAATGCCTGCAGAGTAATTTTAAGGAGGGGGGTGATTTACAAAACATTTCACACAACAGACCAGAACTTGAATTTCAGGACTTTCCCCAGTTCATTAATTAACTTCAGATAGTTCAAATATTATTCACAGATGAGCTATGAAATATGAAAGCGCCCACAGATATAGTAAAGCACTGCTGCATCTAGTAGCTGGCTGTCCAGGAGGGGCAGAGAAGAGAGGAGCCCAGTAAACAACCTGTAAAACCTATGGATGTAAACTTTGACTTCTAACTTTGTAGAATCGTGTAATCATGTCTCAGAAAACAATTTTTGTTTGCTGGAGTATAAAAGTCCCCCATACAATATAGAGCAGGACTCAGAGCATACAATAAGATGTGCTAGTTTTTAACAACCCTGTGACCCAACAGAATAATGCAGTATGAGATGCCCCTAGCTGTAGAAGTAAAGTTGGCTTATCCAGGAAGTTAGTTAGCCACACCTGCTAATGTTTAGCTTACTTTTAATCAGTACCTTACACTCTTGTATTTTTGTGAAGAGTAGGCTACTTGGAAAATAATGACTATGCCTGCAGACTCTATTCATACAGTTACTCATTTTATCCAGAGAAGCTGAGGGAGTGAACAGATCAGGCAGCAGACACAAGAGGTCTCAGCTGCTCAGATATGCTGCTCTTTGGGGCAGGATGTCAATTCATGTATTACAAACAAGAAGCAGAAACCTGCCATAGTCACACATGTGGGATCTAGTGTTTAAGGGCTGTAGCTCAATATTTGAATAGATGTGGGCTTATTCAACACGTGGTCTCAACTAGCCACAAGGTTTATACAACTAACAAATTGTCCCACCACACCAAAACACACACAAGCCTGCCGAAATAATACCGACGTAGTAGTGTGTGGGTGATAGCACGGGCGCATTTATGAAACACAGAGACGCAGAGTCCCTGCGTTTATTTTCCGTTATTTATCTATTTTGGCACTTTCATCTGGTGGATGACAGTTATCATTGGTATAAGCGTATGCCCGTGTAAAGGTTGTGCAAGATACATGAGCACTGTTTAATCGCAAACCCTCTGCAAATACTGTTCACACACAGCCAGGCCCGGCCCTAACCAATTTGGTGCCCTAGGCAAGATTTCAGGTGGCCCCCCGTTGCATCGCCGTAAATTCCACTGCTAATGTATATACTCATAAGAAACGTAATAGCTTTGTCTTGGACATTCTTTTATTTAAATAAAGCAATTGCACATTCAAAATACTTAGAAAGAATTAAAGAAACAAATACAAAAAAATGAACTGAACATATGAAATACAATATAAATAGCTTACATAAAGTACCTATTAATACTCCCAAAATAAAAAGTGTAAACAAGTGACATTAACTTAAAAATACAATATAAATACGGCACTGTGCAAAATAAGATATTAAAGAAACGAGTAGGCACAAAAAAATACAAGGATTTAAATAAAAATAAAAAGATGATCTTACAAAGACCTCTAGTGGTGTTTTTGGTACTGCCGTAACTTAAAAACTACACCATCACCTCCTCAATCTCACATAACCTGCTACAGCTTTACTCTCCTGGTTTTTCTTGCAGCAAAGTCATCTACAACATCATCATATGACAACTGATTTGAGACCACATGGTTTATGCTTATAATGGCAAGTCCACTGAGACGTTCTTGCATCATAGTAGATCTCAGGTAA